AAAGAAGGACATAGGGAAGAGATAACTACAGGGAGAAAGTTGGAAGAAAGCTGTTACATTGTGAGGAATTGCAGTCAATGTCATGAAACAAAGTCTGTATGAACTGCTGCTGTATGGAAAATGAATTTGCTCTGTAAAGTTTCACAATAAAAATTTTTTAAAAAAGAAGTACAGCCAAAATGCTCCTTAGAAGTGAGGATAGTCAGACTTCATCTCACATACTTTGGACATGTTATCAGGAGGGACCAATCTCTGGAGAAGGACATCGTACTTGGTAGAGGGTCAGCAAAAAAAAAAAAGAAAGAAAGAAAGACTCTGAAGAGGGATTGGCAGAGTGACTACAACAATGGGCACATAGCAATGATTGTGAGGATGGCTTAGTACCAGGCAGTGTTTCATTCTGTTGTGCATGGGGTTGCTATGAGTTGGGACCTACTCAATGACACCTACCGATAACAACCACTTATAATGATTTTATTTGTCTGTCTGTATATCCTGCATGTTTGAAGGAAGGAAAGGCACTGAGGGCAAAAGATATGAGTATTCAGTGCTCACATGGTGCCTGGCACACAGTAGGCACTCAGTAAATAGGCATGCTTACAAATATCAGGGGCTGGCATACTAGAACCTGCAGGCCAAACTCATCATGTTAGTTTGTGCCATCTATGCTGCTTCTGTGGCAGGAGTAGTCACCATAGAAACCCACAGAGCAGAAAATGTGTGCAATCTGACCCTTAACAGTTCACCAACTCCTGACCTATATCATCTTGTTCATCACACAAGGTATTCATTCATTTATTTACTCATTTTACTTGGTAAATACTGACTGTGCCTACTAGTGTCAGGCACATAGTTGTACATGGGACACATGGGTGAGTAAGCAGAAAAATGCACAGACAGACAGTGGATGGGATGGGTGGACAGTCCACATGCTGGATGATGATAATCACATGACCTACAGGAGAACAGGTGAGTAGGCTGGGCATGCTGGGCCAGGGAAGGCTTTGTTGAGAAGGAAAGAGTGAAAGACCTACAAATAGTGAGGGTATGAGTCAAGTGGATATCTAGGCATGGGAACAGTAGATGCAAAGACCTGGGGTGGATCATACCTGGTGTTTTCCTGGCACTGCAAGGAGACCAGTATATGTAGAGTAGCGTATGCAACAGGAAGAGAAGAAAAGTCAGTATGTCCAGACCTTATATAGCTTGGAGGCCACAGCAAGTGGAGTGGGGTCTCTTGCAAGGGCTTCTTTCTATTTTCAGAGGTTAAACAACTGGACCAGGACACATAGTGATAGAGCTGGGCCTTGGTTCCCCATATGAACTGGGTTCAGTCCAGCAGCAGCAGGCAGGTCAAACCCTGGGATCTCTGCCTGGAGAAGCTGCAGAAGGATGGAGCCAGGATGTGCAGACATGGGGGCTTTCCCAGGGCTCAGCCCACTGAGGTCAGGGTCTCTAGGGTCAGTGGATGCACACACTTCAAATAGCTTCACCCTAAAGCCATCAGCAAGGACAGCTGGTCTCCAATAAAGCCCAGCAATTAGTATTCCTTGTGCTTCTCCAATCTGCTGTCATCCCGAGAGCCCCAGCGCTGGTTCTGAAGCCCAGTCTTGATTTCAATGGGCTGCTCCCCATTTTGTAAACTAAGTCATCTCTATCACAAAGCTCACTGCTGGCCAAAGTGAAGTTTGGAATCCAGCATTCTGGGTTCAGTGCAGTGCCGTGGTGGTTGGGGCTCTAGACTTGGGTGCAGGAGGCCTGAGTTCTAACTGTGACTTCTGCCTGATTCTCCATGTGACTTTGGGCCAGAGAAGGCCCTCTTAATCTCCACAACCACAGCTGTAAGCTGGCGTAGCTGGATAAGAGCACCCTCTGGACTGAGCTCCTCACTCTGCCATGCTCAGCCTATCCACTATGAGTATGAAACATAAACTCTACTGCAGAGATATCAACAGGATGAAATGAGGTGAAAGAACTGAATCTCTGTGTCTACTACCCTGCCTCATTTACCACACCTGGACCTCAGGGGGGGCCTCTCACAGGCCTCCCATCCCCTTACCTGTCTCTCCTCCAGCTTACCTATTCTCTGGGAGGTACCAGAAAACACCTCTGACCATGTCACTCCCCTGCTTAAAACTCCCTCAAGTGCTCCCTGAAAGAAGGGCATTGATCTCATATTTCAAGCGCTTATGATCAGATCTCCCCAGCCTCATTTCTCACTGTGGCCCTCTAAGCCAGGGCTTGAAAACTAGCAGGGCCAAACAGAGTACAAACATGGGTCTGTTTTGTGCAAATGCTGGGGCATGGTCTCTTGTTTGCCACAGTCCCCACAACTGCCTGTTACTCCCTTCCAGCTTCTACTCACACTGTACTCCTTTTCTGGCCCCCAGAGGCACCTCACTTAAGGACCCCTGGAGTCCATGCCTCCTGCCTGAGCCACTCTGCATGAATTATCTTTCCCCAGACACTACCTACACTGCCTTGCTCTCTCCTTGGTACTTGTTATCCCATCCCCATCAGCACCCTTTTCAACCATGAGAGTCCAAGTCAAATACTGGCCCAGCAAACTCTATCACCTCCTCTTCTGAAAGTATGCTGGTCATGACCCACCTGGTATTCATCTGACTTGCATGCCTGACTCCCCATCACAGTGCAAACCTCTGTAGGGCAGGAATCACCTCTCATTTATTTCTGTATTCCTGGCTTCCAACAAGGGGGCTGGCACAGAGGGGGCTCGGGAAAAGGTGGGAAAAGGAAGAAAAGCATGAGTGAGTGAGAGCAAATGAAAATGTCTTAAATTCTGATACTTGGCCTTAATGGCAGCCCAGAGCAGGGTCCCTCCAGAAGCTGAAGCGAGCCCCAGAGAAAGAAAGCCTCCCACAGTGCTCAGAGAACATCCAGGGAAGGTGGTGTGTGGTGCTTGCTTGCACCCTTCCCTGGAGCCTGCCCATCGGGTGCCCAGGGCCACCCTGTCAGCACATGCTGCTGAGGCTTCCGGGAGCTTGCAGAGGAGTTACTGTGCCCCTCTCACACCTCTCAGGGCCTCATTCTTTTTATTTTATTTATTGTGATTTGGGTGAAGATTTACAGAGCAAATTCACTTTCCATACAGCAGTTCATATATACTTTGTCTCATTTCATTGACCACAGTTTACCACAATGTAACAGCTCCCCTCCCACTTCCTCCCCATAGTTACCTCTTCCCAGTGTCCATCCCTCCATATACTCCTGCCCCCTGAGCTGTCTCCCTGTGCATAAGCAGCCCTTCTTTCTCCCATGATTGTTCTCTCCAAGGAGTGTATCTACTTGACGTAAATGTTTAACTCATATGCCTGAATTTTGTTTGTCTGGAGACCACAGGTGTGGGTTCAATTCCAGACCTGAAGGGCAGCTAGGGGCCATAGTCTCAGTGGTTCCACCAGGCTCTATAGGACCAGCAAACCTGGTCCCCCCCCCTTTTTTTTTCTCCAAATGATTTTGAGTTTTGTTCCACATTGTTCTCCCTCTCTATCAAGGATCTCCTACATAGTTCCCCTTCCAAGTGGATGACAGTGGTAGCCGGGTACCATCTAGTTCTTCTGGTCTCATAGTTGTATAGGCTGCAGATCGGATGGTGTGCCAGTCACTGGGACTAATTGTTTCCATGTATTTTGGTTTTCTTCATTCTTCTTTGCTCTGGATGAGGAGAGACCCATCGTTGCCTCTAGATGGCAGCTTGCTAGCTTTTAAGATCCCAGTCGCTACTTGCCAAAGTAGGAGGTGGAACAATGTTTTGTATAATATGTTATGCCAATTGAGCTTGATGTCCCCTGCGACTATGGTCCCAAGCCCGCATGTTTAACTACTCGGTCTCAGGGCCTCATTCTTTCAGTCTTGCAGCTGTCTGGCTGCTGGCAGGCCCTGAGAGGCCTCTGCCTCCACTGCCTTGTATCCCAAGTAGATCAGTGCAAGGCTGGCTTCTTCTAACCCTAGAACAATAAGCCAGGACGATCCCACCACTGAAGAGAAAGGCATACAGAGCATCTCTCCCACCACCCAGCAATGTCCCTTCACTAATCCTCACAGGAGCCACGAGGGGGCAGGCCTGTCACTCCTCTTACAACAATGAAACTGAGACACAGGTAAGGGAGGCCATCTGTCTAGGTCCACTCAGCCAGAAATAGGCAGACTCAAGGTTCTAGCTCAGGCCTTCTGATGCCAAGGCCTCCTGGAGACTTCTGGAAATAGATGGGCTAGCAAGAACAGAGGGGCACTGCAGGGCCACCATGGTCAGGAATGAGAAGTGGAAGGCCTGGCTTGCCCATGCAGTCACTGGGAGGTTTTGGATAAGTCACTTCTCCTCCCTGGCCTCAGTTTCCCTACCTGTAAGATCAAGGCCTTGGAGGAGACAAGCACTCCTAACTCTAACTGCCTCGTGTCCTTTCTGCTCTTTATATTTGAGTATGATCAGATCCAGACCCTCAAGGGAAAGTGACCTGGAAAGACATCCATTGGAATGACACCCCAACTCCAGGAGGGTGCTACCTGGAGTTCAGCTTAAGGAACAGAGCCAATCAGCCTAGGGGAGGCGCTGGAGAAAGACAGGAGCTGCTGATACTGGCTGATACCATACAGCTTTCAGCGCCCCCTGGGGGGACTTCTTCTCCTCTCAGTGCCACCCCCAAGGACCCTAGGTTGGCCACCTACTCCTGGAGAAAACCCTTCCCAGTAATCCTGCATCTCGAACTGGGGGCAGAGCCAGGATCCCAAGGCCTGCATTTTGGGCCACAGACCTACTGTGTACCTGTAGTGCTGCTATGCCTGTTCCCCAGGGGCCCTGACCACTGTCACAGACTTGCTGGGTTATCCTGGACATAACATGGTCCCTTCTTGGCCTCAGTCGCCCCAGCTGTTAAACAGGTCAGGAGAGCGGCTGAGGTAAGGCCAGGCATATTTTCAGGGCCTCATCACAGACATTTCCAGGCTGTTCTGACCAGGGCTGGGGGTGTGGGGCAGCTCACCGATATCTTGGTGAAGACAGACAACAGCAGGGACAGAATGGACAGGTACATGCATATCCGCTGGCCTCCATAACGCTTCTGGATATACTCAGGCATGGTGACAATCTAGACAGAGGAAAATGGGGCTGAGCACATCTCCAAGGCCACACTCAGGCCCCGTTCCTCACAACCCAGCACTGGCCTTGGTTCTGACCATATTCTAAAGGCAACGAACAGGGCCACTGATGGGGCTATAGCTGAGGACAGAGGGACAGGACTGGAGGATGTTATGGAAACCTCCAGATGAGATACAAGGCCTAGGAAAATGGCTTTAAGGAGATAGCCTGAGATTCGGGAAGTAGAAATCACTGGATTGATTTAATGACTGCCAGATGAGGGCTAGGAGCTCTGGTAGCATAGTGCCTACGGCACTGTTAACCAGAAGCCTGGTGGTTCAAACTCATCAGCCACTCCTCGGAAGGAGGGTTGGGCAATCTATTTCCATAGTGATACCACCTCGGAAACCCAAGGAGGGGTTGCTATGAGTCAGGTCTAACTTGATGGCACATAACAACAGATGAGGGCTGAAGGAGTCAAGGACGGTGCCACTCAGGTGTTCAGCCTGTGTGCTGGGAGTGGAGAGGTGGAGAAATAGAGAAATAGAGATCCTCCATCCTCAAGCAGCCAACAAGGCCCCTTGGACCTTGCATTAGTGGGTTAGTGGGTTGATAGGAATGTCACTTGGTATGGTGCAGTGAATTACTTGGTATGGCTTTTCTAGCTATGGTCCTTGTGACTTCCACCAGATTACTGGGTGGGACCATGCAAATAAAGTATTTGGAACTCTAATGTGAGGATTGGTTAGTTTTGCTTGGTGCTGGGCTTAAAGTGAGCCTTCCTAAGGACAGAAAGGGGGATCTCACTGCCATCAAGAGAGAAGAGCTGGAGGTGTGAGTGCATCCTTGCACCCAAGATCCCTGTGCTAGACCTCCTTGGCAGAAAGATAGCAGAGATAACCAGCAGAGACCTGGCAGCTATGGAGCCAAGAGACACAGGACAGAGCAACAGGCTTGCCAGCCCAAGGAGCAAGAAACCTGAATATGTTTGGGCAGGAGGCTTGCTGGTGGGGTAGGGTGCACCTAGGTGTACCTATCAGCAGAGCTGAAAGAGCTTTGTAATACTTGCCCAAGCAGGGCAGAGGCCAAGGACCAGGGAGGCATGCCTGAGAGCATAGCAAAGGGGAGACTGTCCTGATGGAAAATTTGTGTCCTGAGCACATTCCTGAACCTGAATTGTAACCTGTTACTTCCCTAATAACCCCCACAATTGTGAGTATTGTCTGTGAGTTCTGTGTGGCCGTTGCAATGAATTATCAAACCCAACAGAGAAGTAGTGAGTGCCATGGGCAGAACGGTTGGTATCAGATTTGGTTAAAAGGCTGGAGGATGGTGGCATGTCTGGCCTCATAGGAATAAGCCTTGGACTGTTGATGGTGACTCTGTTTCCCCCTCGTGATATTGAAGGAGGTCAGAAGATGCTGCCCTCCTGCCTTTTTTGCACTTGGATTAACAACAAACTCAGCCCTGAAAATTCACTAACTTATTTTGAGAGCCCAGGCAGTGCTGCTTATCACCCCTGTTATGAGGTGAATTATGTCCCCCAAAATATATATTGAAGCCTTAACCCCTGGTACCTGTGAACATGACTGTTTGGAAATAGGATCTTTGAAGATATCATCAGTTAAGTTAGCATGTGGTCATATTGGAGTAGAGTGAGCCCTAATCCTATCTGACTAGTGTCCTTTTAAAAGAAGAGACACTGAGACACACACAAGAAAGAAATCCATTTGATAACAGAGGCAGTGATTGCAGTGATACAACCACAAGCCAAGGAACCCTATGATTGCCAGGAAGTTAGGAAGAAACAAGGAAGGATCTTTTCCTAGAGCCTTTAGAGAGAACATGGACCTGCTGACACTTTGCTTTGAATTTCCAGTCTCCAGAACTGTGAGATCATAAATCTCTGTTGTTTCAAGCCACTCAGTTTATTATGACAGCTGCAGGAAACGAAAACCACTTCTGCCACCAACTTGGGTAAAGGCTATGACTCTTCCTGTAGCCCCTCACCCTGGGTCCAGACCATGGCTAGAGCCCCAGAGCAGACTCACCTCTGAGGAGATGTAGATAGGCACAAACACCCAGGCCAGAGCCAGCAGCACGTATGTGGCCTGAGGGAAGACAGAGGCAGGGCTAAGGCAGTGGGCCACAGTGCCAAGCAAACCCTGCTCTAGGCCAGGGTGCAGCAGACACAGGTAGACACAGTAGGGACTTGTCATCTGGAGGCCTGAGCTGAGGCCTGGGCCAAATCCAGCAGTTCCCTCCAGCTGTGCTATCTGTGCATTTTCCCAGGAATCTGGCTGCTGAGATTGTAGCACTGCTGACAAAGAAGATGAGCTATTCCTTAGTCGCTGACCCCACCTCCCAGCATGACTGTCCCCCAATAAGATCCTCACGTTCCACTCAAAGCCTGCCACAGCCAGGCCTCCAGCTGCACCCGAGCCTGCCAGTCCAATGAAGAGGCCAGACCCCTCACTGCTAGCAAATAGGGAAGCTCCAATCTGGAAGAGCAAGAGAAAACAAGTCAGCTGCAGGTGTACTGGCCAGGCTCTGCCGGCCTGAAAGCACCATCACATGTCTACACAAGCCTGCAAAAGAAGGCCACTGTCCCAGGTTCAGAAGGAGCCTGAGGCCCAGAGGGAATTAGTGAATGCCTCAGTTCACTCTCAGCAGCTGGTCCCTCAGCTAATGAGTAGTAGAGCTAGGTTTCTACTTCAAATCTCCTGCCCTTTACACAATGTTCAGCACCCACCTACACCCCAAGATCTGTTCCTAGAACAGGCCTTTAGCAAGTGCTGGCCGATCTAGAGATCTGGCTTTGCCTATTAGACAGAGGAAGAGCAGGAACCAGGGACACTTACCGGCCACCATGTCATATCCCGGCCCGCCAGGAAGTAGCCACTCACAGTGTTCCTGCTGGCCCGACATGCAGACTACAAGGGCAGAGACAGAAAGTGGGGCCTTCATGCATTGCTGGTGGGGATGTAAAATGGTACATTAAGAAGGCACTCCCCACCATTCCCACCCCAGCTCCTGGTAACCACTGATCTACCTTCTATCTCTATGGATCTATGTGGTCTTCTGTGATTGATTTATTTCTCTAAGCATAATGTTTTCAGGGTTCATCCATGTTGTAGCAGGACTTCATGTCTTTTTTATGGATAAATAATATTATGGTATGAATAGACTGCATTTTGTTTATCCATTCCTCCATTGATGGACACTCGGATTATTTCCACCTTTTGGCTCTTGTGAATAGTGCTACAGTGAACAATGGTGTACAGGTTTCTGTTTGAGCTTCTGCTTTCTAGTCTTTGAGGTATCAAGTCTGTTTGATTTCAATGGGTTCCTACAAAAGTGGGCAACAGAGGTGAGATTCACACCAAGGCCAGTCCCAGGATGTCATCTTGCTCCTCTTCTCAGTCTTCACTGCCTACCTGACTGGCTGACATTTCTACTCACCAAGTTTACAACATGCCCCGCATCCCTTAAACTAGGCTTTTCTCTTCCCTATGAGATCCTGTTTTGGCTCCCACCAAGACAAGAGGGATTTTAAAAAAAAAAATTTTTTTTTATTGTGATTTGGGTGAAGATTTACAGAGCAAATTCACTTTCCATACAGCAGTTCACATATACTTTGTCTCATGTCATTGACCACAATTTACCACAATGCAACAGCTTCCCTCCCACTTCCTCCCCATAGTTACCTCTTCCCAGTGTCCATCCCTCCATACTCTCCTACCCCCTGAGCTGTCTCCCTGTACATAAGCAGCCCTTCTTTCTCCCATGACTGTTCTCTCCAAGGAGTGTATCTACTTGAGGTAAATGTTTAATTCACATGCCTGTATTTTGTTTGGCTGGAAACCACAGGTGTGGGTTCAATTCCAGACCTGAAGGGCAGCTAGGGGCCATAGTCTCAGTGGTTCTACCAAGCTCTATCGGACCAGCAAACCTGGTCCCCACTTTTTTTTTTCTTTCTCCAAATGATTTTGAGTTTTGTTCCACATTGTTCTCCCTCTATATCCAAGATCTCATAATTGTATAGGCTGCAGATCGGATGGTGTACCAGTCGCTAGGACTAATTGTTTCCATGAATTTTGGTTTTCTTCATTCTTCTTTGCTCTGGATGAGGAGAGACCCGTCGTTGCCTCTAGATGGCAGCTTGCTAGCTTTTAAGATCCCAGTCGCTACTTGCCAAAGTAGGAGGTGGAACAATGTTTTGTATAGTATGTTATGCCAATTGAGCTTGATGCCCCCTGCGACTATGGTCCCAAGCCCGCAGGATCAACTACTTGGTCCCTCTGGGTAGCTGGCTGTGACCAAGCAGTGACCACAGCCTTGCCCCTTGTCAGCTCTACTATACATTTGGGAATTGACAAGAGGGATTTTGAATCAGTGAATCTGACAGCACTTTGACCTCAATTTCTTACTTCAGGTATGTTCTTTTATTTCTTGTACATTTCAACAATAATCCTTTGAGTACTCTCACATGTTTTCTGTTGGGTTATGGATGAAAGAGATAGAGAACTTTGTGCTCCACATGTATAGAATACAAAATCTGAAATCAGAATGCCTGGGAGCAAATCCTGGTTTTTCTTCTTCCTGCTCTGGTGACCTTGGGCAAGTTCCTTAACCAATGGGCCTCAGTTTCCTCATCTGTAATGTAGGCCTCATAATAGCCCTTTCTTCCTATAATTCTGAGGAGGTTTAATGAGTTAATGAATATAGCACACTGAGAATGGTGCCTGGTAAGTATTTAATAAACATCAGTGAAACCCTGCTGTCTGCACAGGACAGTAAACTGGAAGTATATTTAGATGTATAATTGGTGTCTACTTTTCATAGTATAAGGAGCTCTGGTGGTGCATTGCCTAAGGCATTTGACTGCTAACCAGAAGGTTGGCAATTCAAACCCACCAGCCACTCCACAGAAGGAAGACCAGGCAATCTAATTCTGTAAAGATTTACAGCCTCAGAAATCCTATGGGGGGTCCTATGAGTCAGAATTGACTCAATGGCAGTGGGATTTTTTTTTTCCCCCCACAGTATACATATCATGACATGAGACTGGATCACAAAATATCAGTCAATACACAGGCCTAATTCTGCCTGATTTTAGTCATACCCCCCCCCCACACACACACATATATAAACAAACAAACAAACTCTCAGAAGCAACCAAAATTCTTCAAGATGATTCAATCAATTGCCTGGACAGTTGAAAGCCTTCACTATGGTTCTGTCACCCTCTCCCAGCCTCAGGCCCATCATTTGTGCTACATTTGCTGTGGTCCAACTGTGCAGTTCTCCAGAAGTGCTCATGGTGGTGGTCAGGATGGCACCACACCATTCCAGAAGACTTTAGTGTAAGGATGTTCTTTCTCCTTTTGTGGAAGGTTCCTTGCCCCTTTCTCCTATGAAACTTTCCTTCTCATCCTTCAATGATATTGTCAGTTGCCTCCCTTTGTGGTGGGGTCTCACCTTTCCCAGCTCAGATGGACCAGACTAGATCAGCCCCAGGAGCCTTAATGCATTTGTGCCACAGAGCTTGTCACAGTCCTTGCCTGCCATGCCTAATTCAGAAATAGCACTGACTTAAGAGGGCAAAGTCAGAGCATAGCCAGGACCCCTACTCAACAGGTGGAGGGTGAGAAGTGAACTTGCTCTGGTCTGGCCATAGATGAAGGGTGAATAGTCACTGAGTTGGTGAAGAGGGTATAGATGTTTGTGTAGAGTTGGTTCTACCTTAGAGCCTTTCAATAGCCCCATGAGGTAGGTACCATGATCATCCCCTTGTTACTGATGAGGAAACTTAGGCTCTCAGGGATCAGACCATCTGGCTCCAGAGCCCAGGCTTAACCACTAGACTGGTCATCTCACCTCCATGAGGGAAACTGGGCTCAGAACAAAGCAACAGGAGGCTGGAATAACCACAGAGCCTTGATGATGCTGTGATGCTGGATCACACTCCACATGAAGCTTTCCCTATTGCTGGACTCTCAGTTATGGTCACAGTTGGACTGAATTGTGTCCCCCCAAAAATATGTGTTGTAAATCCTAACCCCATCCAAAAAACCAAACTCACTGCTGTCTAGTCGATCCCAACTCACAGTGACCCCTCCTTGGGTTTCCCAGGTGGTAGATTGCCCAATCTTCCTTCTGAGAAGTGGCTGCTAGGTTTGAACTCCCAGCCTTCTGGTTAGCAGTCAATGCCTTAGGCACTATACCAGCAGAGCTACCCCTAACCCCATAAACCAAAAAAAAAAAAAAACCCCTCACTGCTGTCCAGTCGGATCTGACTCAGTGACCCCTCCTTGGGTTTCTGAGACAGTATCACTACAGAAGGAGCTCTGGTAGCATGGTGCCTAAGGCACTTGACTGCTACCAGAAGGCTGGTGGTTCAAACCCACCAGCCACTCCTCGGAAGGAAGATTGGGTAATCTCTACTCGGAAGGAAGATACTGCCTTGGAAAACCAAGGAGGGGTTGCTATGAGTAGGATCCGACTCCATGGCAGCAGTGAGTTTGGTTTTTATCATTAAGCAAGTAGATGGCCCAACCTTCCTTCTGAGGAGTGGCTGGTGGGTTTGAACTGCCAGCCTTCTGGTTAGCAGTCAAATGCTTTAAGCACTACGCCACTAGAGCTCCCCCTAACCCCATAGAGCTTATAATTCCATTTGGGAATGGGTTTTCTTAGTTATGTTAATGAGGCAAGATTAGAGTATGGTGTGTTTTAAGTCAATCTCTTTTGAGATGTAAAAGAGCACAAGAGATCCAACGGATCTACCTACCGACTCAGGACCACAATACTGGGGGACACCAGACTCAATTGGCACAACAAAATACATAAAAGCCTTGTTCCTCAACCTACATTAGTTAGTAGTGACTAGGGTCTTAAAAGCTTTCAAGTGGCCATCTAAGATGCAGCTAATGGTCTCCTATCATCGGAAGTAAAGAAGAGTGCAAAAAAAAAAAAAAAAAAAAAAACACACAAGCGTTTAGAAGCAATCAGCCCTAGACACGATGGCCCTTGAGACCAGAACTAGATGATGCCCAGCTACCAATGCCAACCACTCAGGAAAAGATCAAATCTGGAGATCCTGGATAGAGTGGGAGGAAAAACGTGGAACAAAATCCAAAAACTCAATAATGACCCGAATTACTGGTCAGATGGAGTCTGGTGAGACTCCCAATACTATGGTCCTGGGATACATTCTAGGCCTGGAATAAACTCACTCCCAGGGGCTGGCTCTCAGCCCAATAGTAAACAAGATGTACACATAGGCCGCTCAATTCAAGGTGACACACCCACATACTTGGAGCAATAGACCACAGGGCACCAAAGGGGCAACATTCACATAGAGGAAATGCAGGACACACAGGAGTGCATAACTATGAGGGGCATGGGGGGGGGCGGTTACTGGGCAGGGAGGGGAGGAGACTGGGTTAGGGTTGGGGATGGTAAATGGGGAGTATAACTAAATGTACACGTAATGTTCAATGTAAAACAAACTCTGCTCTGTAAACTTGCACTTAAAGCACAATTAAAAAAAAAAAAAAAAGATAAATATTCCATGACCTCATAACTTAAAAAAAAAAAAAAAGAAAAGAGTACATGAATTAAGAAAGCACAGCTGGGGAAGATAGATACTCTGCCATGTGAGATCTCCAAAGAACCAAGAAACAGAAGCTGAAAAGAGGCAAGGACCTGCCCTCTAGAATGAACAGAGAGTGAAAGCCTTTCCCTAGGGCTGGTGCCCTGAATTCAGAATTCTAGCCTCCAAAACTGTGAGAAAATTAATTTCTGTTTGTTAAAGCCATCCACTTGTGGTATTACTGTTATACCTGCACTGGATAACTAAGACAAGCACCAATGCAGGACACTTCCTTATGGTTTGGGCTCATTTGAAATAGGCTTTCTGTGACTCATTCATTAAGGCTTGAGGCCCAGCTCAAGCATCCCTCCTGAAGGAACTCTCCCAGAAAGTCCAGCCTGGGCTTCTTCAATCCCACCATCAGAGCTCCCAAAGAGGGCAGCACCTGCCCAGGCTGCTCAGTAGCCTCTGGGCTCCTGAGGGGCATCCCCACTCTGCTCAGCTCTTCCCTGGATATGCTCTGCTTTACCCTGGCCAGGTGCACCTCATGGGGTCAGTGGTCTTGGAAGCTCAAAGCCATCCCCACTTAGATGTGCTCATCCAACTAAATATTCCCCCTCTCCCTACAACTAGGAGCTCTGGTGGCATAGTGCCTAAGGCACTTGACTGGTAACTAGAAGGTTGGTGGTTTAAACCCATACCCACTCCTCAGAAGGAAGGTTGGGAAATCTACTTCTGTAGTGATACTGCCTTGGACTTGACTTGATGGTAGTGAGTTTGGTTTTTTTTTGTTCTCTACCACAGGTGGCTGGGAAGCCTTCTCCCTGCCTCTTCTCCTTAGCTCCCCTCACCAGAAGCTCTGCTGCCTGCTCTGCCCTGTAGACCCCCTCTCAAGTCCTAGCCAAAGACTCTCCCAGGAAAGCACACACATCCACACCACATGTTTGAAGAGACTGAGGCCAGACTGAGAAAGTAACTTGCCCAAGACAGGAGGAGCCAGGACAAGGAGCCAGCATTCCCAACTCTTGGCATTGGGTCACTTGTAATTTAATGTTTAATCACAGGATAACTAATTCTAATTACTTCCACTGTTGCTGCTGCTCTTGTTACTGCTGTTACTGCTACACAGCTGCTACTCCGGCTGCTGCTTTTACTGTTGCTACTGCTACTACTGATGCTACTGCTACTATTACTACTACTGCTGCTGCTGTTACTGCTACTATTGCTGTTGTTGTTGCTGCTGCTGTTACTAGTGCTGGTACTGCTGATACTATAACTACTACTACTTCTACTATTGCTCCTACAGTTGCTGCTGGTACTACTGTTGCTGCCCCTGCTGCTGCCATTACTACTACCACTGCTACTGCTGCTACTGCTACCACCACTGCTGCTGCTACTGCTACTACTACTGCTGTACTACTTCTGTTACTGCTACTGTTACTACTAATATTACTACTATTACTGATGCTGCTGCTGGTACTTCTGCTACTACTGCTGCCGCTGCTACTGCTACCACTAGTAGTACTACTATTGCTGATGCTACTGCACCACCAGTAACAGAACAGAGTCTAATACTGTTGGGTACTTTGATAGGAGCCTCATCCCTGTGAGATAGGTGGTGTCTCTATCTTACACAGCAAACATCAAAGCTCTCTTCACCCAAATCACAAGAAAATTAAAAAAAAAAAAAAAAAAAGACATCAAAGCTCAGATATCTGAGTGACTTGTCTAAAAGGTCTGCACTTGGGTGTGACCTGTCTCCTTACCCCTAGATCCTCAACCTCAGGCCTGGGGCTACAGAGAATAAGAGTAGGGTACTCATTCTTGCCAAGGGGATGAAGACCTCAGAATGCCAGAGCTCAAGTGCCAGCTAGGAGACTCCAGGGACAAGGAGGTATAGCCTAGACTCTCTAGACCCAAAGTAGAGAGGGGATGGGTGGGGCAGGGTAGAAGGTAGAAAGCCTCAAGAAGCCCTCTTCCCCTGGATCAAGCAAGTGGCCTCAGTCCAGCTGGATCTTGTGTCCTCATCAGGCAAGCCTCAAAGATTGACATCACAAGCAGAGAAAAGGAGAGTCCAGAGGAGCACCTCACTCTATAAGGTCTTGGCTCACTGGGCAAGTCTGCCTCTCAGAGCTTGGGCTCTTCATCTGCAAATAGGAGTTATTCTTCTCCTCATGGGGATAGAGGAGTGTGATGAGAAGGGCTCAGCTCAGTGCCTGAGCAGGGGCTCAAGTGCTGCTGCTTTCTCTTATCAAGGGATAGAAGCACTGGCTTATTAACTTGGCCCATGGGGACACAATCCCCTGGGAACCTGTTCAATGTAAAGATTCCTGAGTCTGTTGGTCCCTCCCCACTCTGGGATTTTGATTTGGCAGAAGGAGAAGCCTAGCAACCTACATTTTTAAAAGCAAACCCTAGATTATATCAGGACCTCTGGTAGCATAGTGCCTAAGGCACTTGACTGCTAACCAGAAACCCACCAGCCACTCCTTGGAAGGCTACTTCCGTAGTGATGCTGCTCGGAAACCCAAGGAGGGGTTGCTATGAGTCGGGTCCAACTCGATGGCACGTAACAACAACAACAGATTATATCAGTCAGGCAGGTTTAAGCCCTTTATCCACAGTTGGCAGGCATGGAAACCTAGATCAATGAGCCTGACACAGGTGCCCAGGCTCTCCAGCTTGTGGGTGACAGAAACAGAATGCAGGCCAGGTAGTCCGACCCCAGTCTGGGCTGGCCACTCCAGCAGTAAGCTTCTCATCATATGCTCTGCCAAGCCTTGGAGAGATCCCAGTGCTCCATCATCCCCAATTTGTGAATTAGAATCTACTGCCCTAAGAGGAAGGGGCTTGGCTGGAAGGAGAAGCTCCCAGACATCAGGCCCTGGAGGAAACTGATGCTAGTGCTGTAGGGAATGCCTGGGTTCCCATGTTCACCCTTGGTACCGCCCAAACTCACGGGCAGCCCTCTCACCATAGGTGCCCTTACCCATATGCCCACAGCCATGTTCAGGGCAAAGTAGAAGGTGATGACAATGATGTCAATCAAGTTCAGCTGCGGGCCAGGAGCATGGATGTCTTCAGTGGAGTTGTCGACAGCCATCCTACAGGCACTAGCTCTGAAGCAAAACTAAGGGGCAAGCCAGGTCAGAATGGGCTTACTGGAAGGAACTCATTGATCATTAAACCAACATTCTCAGCTCATGATTTGGCTGCGTGCAGCGCCCTGCTTCAAAGTGCAACCATTTCCCCTTCACCCTCCCTAGTAGGAGAGCAACTCCCAGAGCAGGGGGAAGGTGAGGAGGAAGGAGCCCCTGAAACTCAGCAGAAAGAAAATAAAGGTGACTTTAGTGAACTTGAAGGCCCAGAAGAGCCCCAGCAAGAAAGAGGCTGAATTGCCAATGTGTGACTGGAACACCATTTAATTCTTATAGGAAGCACAAGGGTTCTAGACTGACATCTTGCCTCTGGGAACATCACTGTGAGATGTCCTTCCCTGAGGCCACTGGGCCATGACAGGGTGAGAGGGACTTGGGTAGAAATTCCTGCATTACTGTTAACTTCTAGCATCAGCATTCCTGGTCCCTGTAATGTCTCTCTATAGGACAATGAAGGCCTGTCCCCAAAAACTCTGCTCTCCTATTCTAGACCAACAAAATAGACTCAAGCCCATCAACCTGACTATGGGCAGCTCCCCATGGTTGGCCTGGGCCCAGGTGGAGCCATGTCTGTCAAGCACCTACTACGGGACAAAGGTCGTGCTTAGCTTTTTGACAACACACCTCCTTTTGTACTCAAAGTGATCAAAGTCGTTTCACAGTACTGTCAAAGAAATGAAGATTTTGGTCACACAGCTATTTAAAGGGCAGAGACCAAGTCGTCACCAAATTTGACCTCAAATTCTCTGTTGGTGATACTGGTGGCTCTGAGTCCATTTGGATGTCATGTGAGCCATGGCTGCACAGTTTCCCTCTTTCCTGACATTCATTCACTCGTTAATTTACTTGGTGCATCCAGCTGGGCTGGACCTCTCATGCCTCCACTGCAGTGACATACACTGTCCAGCAGCTTTGCAGAACTCTTGGAGTTTAACCAGTGCACATAACCTGACAAGGTGTTAATGAGTGAGCAGCTTGTCAGTGTATACATGCTGGCTACAAGGGCAATGAGCTGTTACTCTGTAACCTTGAAGGAAGGGTTTAAAGATTGATCCTCTAACCCACAGGACTGGACTGGATAAAGGACAAATCACAAGTTGCGACTCATGTAGGATCAGACTGTCAATCTCCACAACTGCCCACTCTTGTGGCCTTCAGCCAACCTGCCTCAGATGTTGTTTACATCTCAAGTGATTGCTTGGAAGACATGTCATCAGTCAAAAGACCACTCTGTACTGATCAAAAGGACCCAGCTGAGAAATATTCAGACTTATCAAACCAGTTTCCCTAACAGAAAGAACTAACTGTATTTGGTCTCTTGCCCCTGCCTGGGTCTCGGGAGGAAATAAACTACTAAGAGATAAAGTCCTGGGATAGAGGAAGCAGATTGGCTTCGGGAGACTGGGCAGGAGATGGGTGGCAGCAGAGGACACACAGGGAGGAATATCAGACCTGAGCCTTGGTCATACCTGAGTTTCTACAGTCTCTTCATTCACCCTAACAGGATCATACCCCAGGACAGGAAAGATGAGACCTGCCCAGCTGAGAAGCCATGTACCTCACACTCCTGCCCAGCTGAGAAGCCATGTACCTCATACTCCTGTAGGCTACATCCATCTAAGAGGAAGCCACCCTGTCTCGAGAACCATCTCCTTGGACAAGGAGTGGGACATACCAGATGCTGAACATCATTAGTCATTAGGGATGTGCAGTCATTAAACTGACCCAGTTGAAGCAGGATGACGGGAACCATTGCTGTCCTTTTTAGGAACACAGGGGGACCTATGGATCTGTTTTCTTTCTTAAGTGCCTCAGTACCAGAAAGGAGGCCTGACTCATTTAAAGCAGTGGGTAAACTAGGGAAGATTGAAACAGACCATAAATTGTGTGACTTTGCCCACAGCTACTCTGTAACAAGATAGGAGGAAGGCTCATTAACAAGCTGGTATGCAGATGAAACAGTCACCCTTGTGGAAGTGAAAAGACTTGAAACACTTACTGATAAAGATCAAAGACTACAGTCTTCGGTATAGATTACACCTTGACATAAAGAAAACAAAAATCTACACAATTGGACTACTAAGAACATCATAATAAATGGAGAAAAGATAGAAGTTGTCCAGGATTTCATTTTACTTTGATCCACAATCAACACCATGGAAACAGTAGTAAAGAAACAAAAAGATGTATTGCATTGGGCAAATCTGCTGCAAAAAAACCTCTTTAAAGTGAAAAAGAGCAAAGATGTCACTTTGAAGAATAAGGTGCACCTGACCCAAGCCATTATCTTTTGAATAGCCTCATATGCATGCTTTGCACTTGGGTGTGACTCTATATTAAGGTAGGGGCCTGAGGTAGGCAAAGGCTTAGAGGCTGCTTTTCTTTTGGGTGTGGCTTTATAAATGGGGCCTGAGGTAGGCAGGCCTGAGGTGTGGAGGCTGCTTTTCACTTGGATGTGGCTCTATATTAAGGTAGGGGCCTGAGGTACGCAAGTCTGAGGCTTGGAGGTTGCTTTTCTCTTGGGGAAGCCTCTTTATTAAGGCCCAGGCCTGAGGTAGGTGGCCCTGGGGATTAGAGGATGTTTTCACTTGGGGGTGGCTCTACATTAAGGCCAGGGCCTGAGGTAGGCAGGCTGGGGATTGGGGGCTGAATGAGACCAGGAAGCATCAAAAGAAGATGGAAGGAATACACAGTCACTGTACCAAAAAGAATTGGTCGATGTTCATCCATTTCAGGAGGTGGCATATGATGAAGAACCAATGGTACTGAAGGAAGAAGTCAAAGCTTCACTGAAGGAATTGGTGAAGAACAAGGAATTGAAGGAATACCCATTGTGTTGGATTGGGTTCTCTAGAGAAACACAAAAACCAGCAAAGTATATATATATTTATATTTATAGAGAGAGAAAGAGAGAGAGAGAGAGA